ATTTGTGTGTTTTATATATATCATTATAAACATTTTATTATCTGAGATTGTGAACGGAATGTCGAACCCAGTATCACCATTCTAAGCTTTCTTTATTCTAATAGCCGCGCTACCTCAGAACAAATGAAAAAAATAATATGTTCATGATATCAACACATAAAAAAATGTATTTCATAATATCAAAACATTAATATAAAAAGATTACATTATATCAACAAATCTCTTTATGTACAACAACAAAAACTTGATGGGCAGCCGTGTAATTTTCTCATTAAGAGGGCAGGTGGTTTATGTTCGTGAGAAACAACCCTGCCATAGCTGTCAGCTCCACCATCAGAGAAGCTGAGAGTGTATTGTATAAAACAAAAATATTTGACCTTTACATCTTTATCACAAAATTCTTTCTATGTATACGTATATAAATGACGCATGTCATGGATTTTCCATAGGATAGTTCTTAATTCAAATATGTCTTATATAAATACTCTAAAATCATAGAAGTAAGTCATCTTTTTATGGAAGCCAGCTTTGATCCAAATTATGGATATCTTTCAGTTGCATGTAAAGCAAAGCGGTTTTACTGAAAGGTTAATTGTTTTTACCACAAACGTAAGAGATATATTTGTCATGGAAAATATTTGAGGAAATTGAAACCTCTTAACATTTACAGAGTTATCTCCCGTTTTTCATGTGAATGTTTCTGATGTCATCCCTGAGGGTATGGTTTAGCTGTCATATCCTAAGGTATACAGCTACATTTTTGTACGACAGAAACGAAGTAAAAAGAAACATTATTATGACGTCACGGAAACAAAAACATATGACGTCATAATCAGCTATTGACGATTTCAGTCACATGCAGGTTAAGAACATAGTACACACGCTGAAGAATATTGCTTTTAAATTGTGAAATTTTGGGAGAGAAATAATCATCCCCTTAATTCAGGGTGTGACAGAAAACTCCAACCCTCAAGGGATTCTTGGTTTTTCTGACCCTGGGGCCTCGGGTTGGATATTTCCCTGTCGCATTCTGAAGGAAGAGGAAAGTTCCATTGATCATTCGCCTGAGGGTATGCAAGATATGTTTTCATAGTGAAACACTCAATTACACTTATTGCACCCAGTGACACTTGTTCTGAATTTACATTATCCAAATTTCTAAATGATGACTCGGAAGTGTACAATTAAACACAGTTTTTTTTTATGTCAGAGTATATAAGAACATAGCATATTATGTTTAAATATTTAAATAACTAAGACAAATCAAACACATGGTGATTAAATATTTTACCAATAAAGGGCAAATATTTGACTTGGCAAAAGTTTAAATAGAGTTTTTCTATGAAATGTTTAACATGTATGTCTGTCACCAACTATTTGTTTTAATAACTTCAACATTAATGAACAATTAAACAAAAGAGGTTTTAGTCAGACCTCGATACTGAATAGTATCGTTTTACACGAACTCGACTCAAATATTTTTTATGCCAACTCTAAGTAGGCTTTTTTAATATATACCTTGTCTCATTTTCAGTGGATGCTCATTTATTGACAAAACAAGTTTCTTTCAGTATTTTTCTTTTGTCTTTTAAATTTAATGCTGATTTGTATTACAAATATTAATGAATAAAATGGTTTATTTTTCAGAAGTAACAAAAAAGGAATCTCTCAAAACGAACGTTACGACAAAATAGAAACAACGTTTTACATGAAGAACAAATAAAAGCTATTTTAATAAGTTTCAATTGTATATGACAAACTGGAGTACTTCGTTACTACACGGCTTGCATTCTTTAGCGTCCTATCTCCAATGCAATATTACAAATCAGTACTTTTTTGTACAGGACTCAATAGAAGACACCTGTCAGGGGAGTACGTTATGCAATTACACACAATACACTATGAATGTACAATCAGACTTGTTCTGGCTATTAAGAATTCTGTTTCACAATATCAAATGAAGTTACATCGTCGGATACCCACGGTTGATTTCGCTTCGGTACTCACCCATCACTCACCATCGTCGGATACCCACGGTTGGTTTCGCTTCGGTACTCACTGAGCATCGTCGGATACCCCCGGTTGATTTCGCTTCGGTACTCACTGAGCATCGTCGGATCCCCACGGTTGATTTCGCTTCGGTGCTCACGTGATGAGTGAGTACCGAAGCAAAATCAAACGTGGGGATCCGGCGATGGTGAGTGATGAGTGAGTACCGAAGCGAAATCACCCGTGGGTATCCGACGATGGTGAGTGATGGGTGAGTACCGAAGCGAAATCAACCGTGGGGATCCGACGATGCTCAGTGAGTACCGAAGCGAAATCAACCGTGGGGATCCGACGATGGAGAGTGATGAGTGAGTACCGAAGCGAAATCAACCGTGGGAATCCGACGATGGGGAGTGATGAGTGAGTACCGAAGCGAAATTAACCGTAGGTATCCGACGATGCTCAGTGAGTACCGAAGCGAAATCAACCGTGGGTATCCGACGATGATGAAGTTATTACTTTGAAGGAATCTGGAACATCTCTGTAATTACTCAATGAGCTATTGTCACTGATAAATGTATACAAGTTGCACTACAAGAGATGAACTCTACAGATGTTTCACATATAATTATTTCTATTTTAACTATGTTGCCAAATTTGAATTTGCAGTAGTATAGAGCAATATCAAGTCTTACAAACGAAAATGAGAGATAGAACCCTAAAACAAAAGCCACTACAATTTTTCATTTTATTTTTTACATCCAAGTTTAAACATTTAAAATGTGTCAAAATATTAAAATATATCACAATAGCAATTCGACCTTTAATCAACCCACTAAATTTTTGTGTTTTTCTTATTATTATTAACATTTTATTATCTGAGATTGTGAACGGAATGTCGAACCCAGTATCACCATTCTAAGCTTCCCTCATTCTAATAGCCGAGCTACCTCAGAACAAATGAAACAATAATATGTTCATGATATCAACACATATTAAAAATGTATTTCATAATATCAAAACATTAATCAAAATAGATTACATTATATCAATAAATCTCTCTATGTACAACAAAAAAACTTGATGGGCAGCCGTGTAATTTTCTCATTAAGAGGGCAGGTGGTTTATGTTCGTGAGAAACAACCCTGCCATAGCTGTCAGCTCCACCATCAGAGAAGCTGAGAGTGTATTGTATAAAACAAAAATATTTGACCTTTACATCTTTATCACAAAATTCTTTCTATGTATACGTATATAAAAATATTGTCATGGATTTTACAAATGATGATTCTTAATTCAAATATTCTTTTATAAATACTCTAAACTCATAGAAGTATGAAAGCCAGCTTTGATAAAAAAAAATCATGGATATCTTTCAGTTGCATGTAAAGCAAAGCGGTGTTACCGACAGATTTATTATTTCTACCACGTACATAAGAGATATATTTATCATGGCATATATTTAAGGAAATTAAAACCACCAAACATGAATAGAGTTATCTCCCGTTCGACATATTTATAACTCTCCTTTCATCTGCTAGGCATGGTTGTGTTGTGACAGTTACGACAGAAATGACGTAAAAAGAAACAATATTATGATATCACGGGAACAAAAACATATAAATCATGACTCTTAAGTGCACAAACGCAAACGTTTGCATTTAAAATGTTCTGACCCATACTAGATAATGTTCTGAATATGACGTCATTTTGATATGCTACGTGATGTCATTCAAATTAGTTCTTCTGTCAGAATATATATTGCCAAAACACAGAGGGCATCTGACTCTTATTATTTTAAAGTGTGCCTCTCATTTATCATAATTTTCCTTGGTGTTTTTTTTGGATTTTTTTTTTTTAACTTGTACGGTATTGACTAAAATCTGCTGTATTTATTCTTGCATTTGCAATGTAATTGGCAATTTGTCTACCAAATTAACGAGCACAAGTTTGGAAAAAAGTAAACAGTTATAATGGACAGAGACTTTTTCGGTTTTGACCTAAATTGTACATCTTCTATCCCAAATGACTACATAATGTATGGTTCTATTAATCTACATCTAAACACTGCTAGTAGTATTATGTTTGAATTTTATCCGGGTATAAAAAGGAATTTTTAAAATGTTTGAATATCCATCATCTTGAAAATACACCTATGATGACCTACCGTCTAAATACACAAAACACTTTCACTTAAGTAAAAAATCTCCCAGTTTAGTGCATGTTTATGTAATATCACCGAGACAATAAAAAATAATCATGAAACATTTTCATCCATGGTAACAAGTGGTTGTCATACAATTGATAATGATAATATACTAAAAACGTTTTCATTGGCATAAATTTAAACAAGATTATCAGGTATTCGAAAACAATACTTCCCTAGCTTCGCTTTATATATACATTTGTGGTAGCACCTGAAACATGAAATACACGACTGTGGCCTTCGGATTATGGCCCAAACAATACTTCACAAAACAAATATCAATAAATTCATTTTTGAAATGTTGAAAACTTATTTAAATCTGAAAGTGTTATCCCATAACAAACTTACAATTAAAACATAAATATAAAGAGTATTTTCCTATGTTTTAAAAAGTAATCATCCTTCCAATGATAATTAAACAAAAAAACGGGTAAAATAATGTGTCAGTTTTTTAATTAATTTTGTTATTTAACATGTTTTTCTTTTAATTTTGAAACAGCCAAAACTTCACATCTACACAAATTGAGCCTGAACATGCCATTCAATAAAAAATGTGAAAAAAAATGTTAGACCAGGGAATCGATTTCATTGGTACAAGGTAATATACATGAAATTACCACGCTGCATTGCCTTATATGACTGCTTGCAGAATAGAATGTTAAACTTCCCCACTAAAATGATCAGTATATATTCCGTGTTTGCGTATTGCAGAGTGATCTTCTCTTGAGACCAGGTATTGATTGTAACGTCATTGGTTTGCGAGAGAAACGTCATCAATTTTTGAGAAAACGACGTAATTTTCTCACACAAACCAATGAGGTAACAATCAATACCTGTTCTCAAGAGAAGATAACTCTGCAATACGCAAAGACGGGATAGGCACATGTCCGTGTATACTTGAGTAATTCGTAGTTTATGGACACCAGTAGATACAACTAGAAAAATGATCTTACTACAGATATGAGTAGCTAGTATGCATGAGCAGTTTCTTGCAGAACAGTTAACAGTGCAGGTATACACGATTAGACTCTAGTTACACGATTAGACTCTAGTTAAGTCATACTCTACAGCAAAATGTCAGTTTATGTGCTGAACCAGTAGCATAAAGAGTCATACTGTGCCAGAATACAGTGTCCTTATAAAATGTACAGATCAGTAGTTTCTAGAATAATGTTTTTCTACCATGTACATTTGTACGAACATGTACACATCATTAGAATTCATTAGAAGCGCTCTGCTCCTATTCCACCACAGTTCTCTGCTAGTGCATCAGTCCACTGTCACTGTTAGAATCATCCTCAGTTTATGTAAACGTCAGTGGCCTCCAGATAATCGTTCAGGATTGCATAGCAAAAATGGTACTGGTCCTGTGAACAAAACATACAGTTGAAGTTACATCATCGTACATATATTTTACTGAACTATTGACAAGGGTCTTAAATCTATATCTTTTTATCATTATATCGATCAAAGAAATAATTTCAAAGGTAATTTTCCAAATAATACTAAATCATTGCAAACGTATTTTTCTAGGATACGAATCAGTAATTCTAACAGTGTAGACAATCTGATGTTGTCAAAGTTTCGGTAGAGGGCTCGTGGTAGCAGAATGTCAGAGGTCTTAACCATTTGGCCACCGCAACCCCTGTCCTTGTAACAAACATACGCGTCAGTGCTTTATGAAGTTCCATAAAAGAAGGATATAGGAGATTGAACTGAATTTTTGAAATCATCATAATAATTATTGCAAATACATTCCACGAATGCGCTACTAGAATGGCAATTACATTAAAAACATTGTTCCATTCGAATATTTACAACAACAACAAAAAAAAAAAAATATTATTTCACTTTGTTGTGTTCATGAATAGCCTATACAAAAAAAAAAAAAAAAAAAACGATTCCCAGTCTTAGTTTGAGGGTATTTCCGTCATATTGACATGTATATATAAAGCAAAGATTGCATAACCGAATCACATGACAGCAAACAAAACGATAGTGGAGAGTGTGTTTATTTGTCTGCTAAAATGTTAAAAGGCACTACAGATAATATTTTGTTTTTATTCATTTTTGTTCTGAATAATTGACTCACAAATGAGCTTAGAAACTCTGGTCGCCTGATGAGAAGTTGTCGGGCTGCCTGAAATACATCCACCTCCTCGTCCATCTTGAGCTGGTCACGAGTGTTTGCCATGAGGCAAAACAGTCCACACTGTGTTGATCCATCCCTGTAAGATGCCGAAGTTATTGTTTTATAAATGAAGAAGTATTACAGATGTACCGATTACAGATCAAACTACACGAGAGGGTAATGATGGTACATGAGACAGACAGGGGTTTGAAAGTGAACAGATATTACAGAACTCTCAAGTGAAATAGGAATGACGCAATAAAAAACAGGTCATGCCGAATAAATCCACCCTAAACATGGCAGGACGTTATTATGTAAATTCATACAAGAATGTTCCCAAAATCGGGTAGAGTGGGTTGTTTAAACATGAAATTATGTAATTGAAAAGAAAAAACGCTTTTGTGATATATGACACGTATAAGATGATTTAAAAAAAATGTAAATCAACACATCTGTGAGAGGAATTTATGTAAAACTCACTTGCACGTGACTATAACCGGTTTGTTGCCACTAGATCTACGTCTGCTTTCCACCTGCTCCAGTAGATGAAGGATTGATTGTTTCGACGGGGGAACCTGCATTTCCATTGTCCAATCCTTCATTCGGAAAATTCTTAGACTGTGTGCATTCTTCACACTCTGGAATTGTATTTAACGACTTTTCGTTAACAGTTTTGCTTACCAAAGTTTTTATTTAAAATAAGTTTCAACTGAAAACTAACTGGAGAAAATATGTTTATGTGCTATAATGCTAAGAATAAAGGATACTTGTTCGTTTTACAAATTATTACTTTACACCAAACTGTAAACTATCAAATGTTAAACCTTATAAGACATATTTTCTTTTAGATTAGCAACATCCAGATATTTTGGACTATCGAAAGAATAATTTCAAATCAAATAAGAATGAAGCTATTATACCAAGATATATATCACAGATATTTATCTGACACAAAAGTGTATACTATCAAAAGTGATACTATAACTAACACATGGTATTTAAGATTAGAAACGGGTAGTTACATGTAGCACTATAAAAAACCACAAGTAAATTAAATAAGAATGAAGCCAATACACTTTAAATATATCTCTAAACATATCATAGAAAACACGTTAAAGAAGACACAGTTGATTACTGTATCAGAGTGTATCATACTTTCCAATTTCTTCTGACCAATGAATGCTCTACTAGAACGGGAGAACTTCTGTTATCATTACATAAAATAAGCAGTACCTTGCGGTTTATTAAAACGTCCATCACATCTACGCCATTGAAATTTGTCGTCTTTCCATTTTGTTTCACGTTGAAATCGCCGATACTCGTATCCTTCTTATCGGCAGGTATCCAAGGTGTGTTCTAACAAATCACAATGAGACTCAATTAATAATCTGTTTTACTAATAGCCTCTTTCAACAAGACGCTTGATCACCTTTGTCATTCTCTGTTCGGCGTAGCTTGCGCAGACAAGAGTCTGGTTGAACGGACTATTTTACTAAAAGTAAGTCATTCTTTGCTATTCAATTCAAGTGGTATGGCGCAAACAGTAAGCCGTTGGAATAAGGATTCATAACATCTGCACTCCCGAGCTTGCTTGTTTTCATTATAAATGAGGAATTTTCGAAACAGCACAGATTCTCATAGCATAGACTCAGGTTGATTACTAAAATTTATTTGGAATTGATGTCAATTGAAAGACACACGGTTATTGTTTTCCGAAATAAGTTTGTTAATTTAAAACTTTCATGCTCTCAGATGTGTAAAATAAAATGTAGACGATTTTGAAAAGCTGTACAAACTTCATACAGTTATAAGATTTTTAACGTAAGATATTTTTTCGAAGCTTACCTGTTCGGGGTCCTTTTCGTCTCCTAGTATAACGACAGTGTCAGATTGGTAGTCCATCACTAGGGTCCAAAAATCAGCTCTTGTGTCTGGGAGAGGAAACTGGGTTACTATGTATCCCTCTCGGCCAGTGTAAGACTGAAACAGCATAATGGATTTCTTACCAATCTATTTCTCTTGCAATGGATAAAAGGTAACCTTTGGCCTGATAAATGTTGTTACCCAAAATAAAAACAACATGTTTTTGAGGCGATATCAGATATTTTCATTTATTTGAATTAAGAATTATGAATTTATTACATTTATTATACAGAGTGACTTACCTGTGTTATGACAGCATTGATATAATCATTGCCATTTGAAGGGTAGGACTTCAGGAAGGCTCTGAATCTATCCGCTGGAATTCAAAAGATATATGTATATAGCATCATGATTCACGTTGAAGTTTAAACAAGTAAATAGTAATTTTCCGATAAGAACATCCATTGCTCCTTGAGCAAATACGAATCAAGTTTAAGTTGTCGGTGCATGAGCACATATCAGTGTTCATATTACGTCGTATCTTTTCATCCTAAGAAATCTTAAATCTTAAAAACAATGAAAATTTTGTTTCAGCAGGAACGTAATGTATCTGACAATGTTGAGAGATAATCTGAAATCCGAATGCTATTACATACATGCCAATATTCCCATAGTCTTGTTTTTTGTTTTGTTGTTGGGCAGTAAAGCAGCATAAAAATCCTGTTCTAAGTTGTATTCCGGCTTCAGATCCAACATCAACTGAAAAAAAAATGGCAACTCTTATTTCAAATATAATGAACAGATGTGTGCGTATTATGGTGAAATATACGACAAGAGTGAAACAATATTTTAGAAAAATATTTAACAGAGACAATATTCGAATCCAAAGTTATATATTCCACTATTTTATTTGCAGAACATTTTCTTCCGAGTATGTCATCAGATATGTCTATTCCTTTAAATTATCAAAGCAAAATTTCTAACCTTATTAGTTTTATCTCAGAAAAGCGTTTTAAGTTACCCCTACCCCTTATTTTCAAATGAAAAATACTCATTTTTTCGGGTCAAAAAAATTGAAGTACTTTGGTAACACTAAGCATGTAAAGAAATACAACTCCTGTATAACTTTCCACATTGTAGCATATTCTTTTCATCAAAATGAACATAAAACAGTTTTACAGCAAAAATGAACTTGTTACAATAAAAAATGGCGACACATTAACACAATGACGATTTCAGCGATTAGTCTAATGTCGACAAAGGTGACGTTTTGGTCTATCGTGAAAACCAAGAACTACACATTTTCAAAATGGTTGCCAAAATATTCATTTTTTTAATTTCTTGTAACAAAAGTTCTACAAACAACAGGCATCTAGTTTTTTACACATGTTTCAGCTGTGTGTTTGCTATTGAAATATATCCTAACTTTTTAAATATTACCAAAACCTGTTACAAATGATTGAAACGAGATTTGAACGTGATTAAAATCTCAGAAGAGTATATCCTTAACTGTATTTACACCGCCTACTTGTGGAATAGTCAAAACACAGCTTCATCATGTAACTATATCGTGGTAATGCATATATATATCTTGCATACTTTTATCAACATAAAATTAATTTTTATGATTGTATTCCATCGCTACGCTGAACAAGTTGACTTTAAAATATACCTTGAACTGATCCCTTAGCTGTGTCTTATTTTGAGGTTGTCCCGTGTCCGAAAGAGCGTGATACTTTGCCACGAACATCGACTTCGGTATGAGTGTATCTTGAAGGTCAAACGCCTCCGCCAGGACTTCATGAAGAGCCACATATTGCTCCTGTAAAAGAATATCAAATTACTGATATTAACGATGAATTAAATATTAGTTATGCCAATGGTCTACACGCGCCCTTGACAATTTAATTCATATGTGCATGCTATGTGTATCGAACATGTTTCGTCTCATTTTGAAGTGTTTATTTTTAAACAATTTAAGAACAACCATGCAATGTATTCCTCGGGGAGTATTGTTCTATTGTAAAATATCCGAGATCTTTTAAGATATCATTATTGTGGTTGTTTAATCACCTTAATTATTGCCTAATCTCTGAAGCCACTTCTTGAATACAACCCTAAAATTAAGATGTTTAGTTACAAATTATAATCAATACAGCAGCATGCATTCCTTTGGCTTCATGCAAGCTTCCTACTTAACACATAACGAAGGATAGGGGATGATAATATAAAGACGGGTAAAGTCGAAACAAGGAGAAAGCAGTATCGATCTGTATACGAACTACAAATAAACGTGATGGCTCACCACTGTTTGAACCATGTTCATCCTATCTTTCCTCATCGTGTTCATAAAATGCCGGATGTCGATGCGGCCATTTTTTTTACCGAACTCCAACAGAGCGTCGAGAGCAATGAACGTTCCTGTTCTTCCAATACCGGCACTGTTATAATGTACAGACACAACATTTACCATACATATACTCTTTGTACAGTCTTACTGAGTAAACGTTACAGCTAGAAACACATTAACGCGCAGACACAACATTTACCATACATATACTCTTTGTACAGTCGGACTGAGGAAACATTACAGATAGAAACACATTAACGTACAGAAACAACATTTACCATACATATACTCTTTGTACAGTCGTACTGAGTAAACATTACAGATAGAAACACATTAACGTGCAGACACAACATTTACCATACATAATCTCTTTGTACAGTCTTACTGAGTAAACGTTAAAGATAGAAACACATTAACGTACAGAAACAACATTTACCATACATATACTCTTTGTACAGTCGGACTGAGGAAACATTACAGATAGAAACACATTAACGTGCAGACACAACATTTACCATACATAAACTCTTTGTACAGTCTTACTGAGTAAACGATACAGCTAGAAACACATTAACGCGCAGACACAACATTTACCATACATATACTCTTTGTACAGTCTTACTGAGTAAACGTTACAGAACGAAACACATTAACGTACGGACACAACATTTACCATTCATATACTCTTTGTACAGTCTTACTGAGTAAACGTTACAGATAGAAACACATTAACGTACAGACACAACATTTACCATACATATACTCTTTGTACAGTCTTACTGAGTAAACGTTACAGAAAGAGACACGTAATGTAGCCGATATGGTGTTTATAAAGTTTTATATATGGTGTTTATTTAGCTTTATATATGGTGTTTATTTAGCTTTATATATGGTGTTTATTTACCTTTATATATGGTGGTTATTTACCTTTATATATGCTTTACATTTAAATGACTGCGCTTTGCTGGCTATGGGCGTGTTCAAAAGTTTGTATCAATCTATGACCTAGAATTTTGCTTCACGTAAAGCATGCATTAATGTTTTATGAAAACGTTAAGTTTATGTATTGTTAAATAGTGTTGAGAATACTGTATCAAAGTGATATTTCTAAAGAAATCTATTGCAATAACTTATGTTTTGTAACTGGGTATGACAAGCATCTGATAAGTATGTGTACAAATGTGTTTATTGATCAAACGGTTGTATAAATAATGTGCATGAAGACTTCGACTCTGTTATCGTTTTACCTGCAGTGAATAACCATCTGGCCAGGAAGAACGGTTTCGTGAAGTTTCATGCGACGATGAAATAAAACAAGTTCTAACGTGTTCGGCGTCCCATGATCCGGCCAAGTTGTGAAATGAAACTGCTGTATTTCTCGCTTTTCCTTTGACTGATTGAGAAGAACATATTAGCCATTGAGTATATACGACAGTTTGGCAATGTTTCTTTAACACAATTAATGTAACATTATAATTAGTGACAAAGAAAATATGTATATGATTCAAATAGAGAAATTGACAATAAATCACAAGCATTCTATTTTGTATATTCTAATTACGTGAATCTACACATAAAATGATACAATGTATTGACAAACAGAAGCTAATGATATCAAAAATAAACATGAGGAGAAGTTTTTAGTCGCAGGTTACAAACAGTTATAATAATAATATACAGCATTTGATATAGCGCCCTATCTAGTTAGCATAAGCTTTTCTAAAGCGCTTTACAGTACATAGATATACAAATGATACAATTAGCATATACATTAATCAACACATTTTTTGAGGAATTCGCAGGAGCTTCCTTATCAGGCACTAAATACTAGTCCAGTGCCACCTGGCTAATATCTCCCTATGTGTGTGTGCCTGTGTGTGTGCTGGAGATGTAATGTGTTCTGTTTGTAGTGGGACCGTGCTTCAAATGGCATCATTTATAGTCCCACCTCACTTGAATGCTACAGCACAGATACCGCAACATCCACCACAGACCAATTTATACTTCATCTCGGTTGTTGGAGTTGTGTGGGCAGGAAACTAACACTTTCTCCGAATATTCATGCATACGACGACTTCGGGAAGCGAATCCCGGCCACCGACGTGGAAGGCAGGGGTGTTAACCACTCGACCAATTCGCCCATGAAAAAGCATAACATATAAAAGCAAGCGCTAACTTGAAGGAATTTATTTCTATTCTTGGTTTGAAATGATATCAATGTAACTACCTTCAGATTGACGACAGTGATTTTCCTGACAACATGGGAAGCATAACCGCGTTCTCTGTCCAGCGTAATGCGAAAAGTTTTCGTTAACATTGGATTTCCTTCGTCTGGCCAGTATTTGTCACATTTTTCCTGAAACGAAAATTCCGAAAATTGAAAATGTGTGTGAGTTACATTAATTTACAGTTACAGTCTAGAATTTATGTTAGAATTGTTTAAGATGGCTATATAACATATTTTGAGCACGATTTATAAAGCGTTATCATTGCGTTTTTATGCGCTTTCAAGTTACATACCGAAAGATTTAAAGGTTTACGGGGGTCATACAAGCTCCCTGTTAGAAAAAGGAAGAGTCTCTCTAAAGAATGGTGTCCAAAGATGTACGTTGCGTATACAGGTAATGCAGTTGTAAATAAAATCGTATATTGTTATAATCGCATTCTCGATACTCCCAGGTTACATGTATGCACACTTACATTATATGCACCCTTGGAATATGTCATGACAAGACCCTTTCAAAAGAATCTCGCAGCCGCGTAACGGTAACTTGATAGGCCATGAGGTCAGATATTGCTCCTCTGTAATCTTCAAAGGACAATCAAATAGCTAGCGGCGTGCCTTCACTTTTCTTTGGCATATGCCAAGGATGAAGAGAATGTAAGTGAGCGTACAAAGTATCGAGGATGCTATTCTGGTGACCTAAAAAGCGCGATAGGTGAAAGTTGTCCAGTTTATTGTAAATTTTACGACAGCCTTCGTGGTGTTTGTGGAACATGCATATTTTTTGTTTAACATTTTTTAATGTTATAAAGATAGATAGCAATCTTCTTGGTTTAGCCATGTTTCGTTACATTGACATATTTATGTATCAGTGATTGGCTACAATGTACCTGTTTGTAGTAGTATTCAGTTACGTTCACCGTAACAATATATCTGTGTGAAGAGGTGTTTATAGTTACATTCACCGTTACAATATAACTATATGTAATAATATTTAGTTATGTTCACCGTAACAATATACTGTATGTAATAGTATTTAGGTATGTTCACCGTATAGTAACAATATACTGTATGAAGTATTGTTTAGTTACATTAACCGTCACAATATACATGTTTGTAGTAGTGTTTAGTATCGTTGACCGTAAAAATTAACCTGTATATAGTAGTATTTGCATACTTATTGTAGTATTTGCATACAAATGCCAAATATTAGTGGAATTCCATCTTAATTGCTTTAAAGGTATTTTTTTTTTATCGCAAACGTATGTAAAAACAGTTCTTTCATATAATTACCTTTCGACCTTCTATCAAATTCGTGAGCATTACTATCTTTCCTGACTTCAGAATCCAAATCATTCTCCAAAAGTCATCGATGGTAGATGGGATAGGTCCTTAAAGAAAGAAACAAATAAGGAGAATTTATCTTGGTTTATCTCAAAGGAAAGAAATAATGCTTTTCTATTTCTAAAGATATACGAAATTGTATTAATAATTAACTGATATAAGACAACACATATCAGTTATATCAATATTATTTGTCTCAAGTTACTTGTCTTCAAACGAAGAAAAATAAGCGCAGTTTGAAAATCCAAGAATAATATAAGGATAATCAAATTAAGATTCTTTACCTTGGGTTGCAACATAGACCTTCCTTGCTTCAAAATTCTGGAAAAAGTAATATCATCCAGCTGAACTGAATTGAAATACATATTGGGGAGAATGTGCGTTTATTTACAATCAATACGGTTTCTTGAAGATATAAACAAGTTTCCGCATGTTTTGACAACAAGGGTCTCTAAGGTAAATGGGAACTTTTGGTATCATGTTAGCTGTGATCACAGTGAATGTTACAGCTAATAGTCAATGAAAAGCTTCGAGATTATGTCTATTTTGATGATGATACATGTACTCACATCGATGTAGTTAGCGTTGATGTAGTCCGAACCTTTTTCACCAGGAACTGTGTCAAGGATAACTCTTGAATGGTCATCTGGATATAAAATACAAAATTGAAAATTGAAAATGTTAAAAAAAAAAGTGACCTGCATTTATCTTTCTTTTTTTCCAACCATTTTGTCAATGGAATGTTAAGAGCTAAAAAAACAACTTGGGGTGATATATGTTAAGACCAAAAATTCAAAAGGTATGATAATATTATATTTTTCATAAAAAATGAAATTCAATATCTCAAGACGTTTCATGTGACCGAAGTAATGATAAATAGCACTTACATGGGTGTATAGACTTGAATCTATTTTTAGACTTATTCTTTTCTGCAATCGTACGGGGATGAGTCGCTCCGAGTGGAAATGTCTGTAAGATATATCGATGTATTCTTACAATCATTTGATATTGTAAAGCAAAGGAAGTTTTTGTATATATACATTGTAAAGATATTAACCCTTTCTGACGATGGAAATGTACATATATCTTTTAACTATCTTCGGTTTTGTTCCTAACGTTTTCAATTCGAACTGGCTTGACATAGTCAACAGATCAGAATAAGTTGTACTATAAGAGTTGAAAGCAAAATTAAAACTAGTGTAAATGTTGGCGAAGTCCTTTTTTTTATTGAAAATGTAGGAATCTTGGAGAGAATTATTTGAAAAAATCATACATCATGCATCTATATATTGTATTGTGTAATACTTTAAATAGAGTTTGATATATAATAAGCAACTATCAGTCGAGGAATCAAAGCTTAATGTGAACGAATACCATAAATAGGTAACTTAACACGGGATAAAGTAACATCGAACCCATGATATTTCGATACTACATTTGTAAATTATCTTGAACACAAATGACGATGCCTATATATATGTCAATGTAAGTGGATTTATCTCAGTAAGGATATCGTTAGACAATGACTACATTTATGTCGATGTATGTGGATTTATCTCAGTAAGGAGAAAGTTAGACAATCACTACATTTATGTCGATGTATCTGGATTTATCTCAGAAAGGATAAAGTTAGACAATCACTACATTTATGTCGATGTATGTGGATTTATATCAGCATGAATGGCGTTAGACAATCACTACATTTATGTCGATGTATCTGGATTTATATCAGTAAGGATAAAGTTAGACAATCACTACATTTCTGTCAAGGTATCTGGATTTATCTCAGTAAGGGTGATGTTAGACAATGACTACATTTATGTCGATGTATGTGGATTTATATCAGCATGAATGGCGTTAGACAATCAGTACATTTATGTCGATGTATCTGGATTTATCTCAGTAAGGATAAAGTTAGACAAGAACTACATTTATGTCGATGTATCTGGATATATCTAAGTAAGGGTGACGTTAGACAATGACTACATTTATGTCGATGTATCTGGATTTATATCAGTAAGGATAAAGTGAGACAATCACTACACTTATGTCGATGTATATGGATATATCTCAATAAGGATAAAGTTAGACAATCACTACATTTTCGTCGATGTATGTGGATTTAACTAACTAAGGATAGCGTTAGACAATCAATACATTTTCGTCGATGTATCTGGATTTATCTCAGTTAGGATAAAGTTAGACAATCACTACATTTGTGTCGATGTATCTGGATTTGTCTCAGTAAGGATGGCGTTAGACAATAACTACATTTATGTCGATGTATGTGGATTTATCGCGGCATGGAGAACACGTTAGACTACAACATTTGACTTCCAGAATCGCTCTTAATTTTTTTTATATAAAGGTTTATCACGCTTGTATTAAGTCTTTATTCCTTAATACTGTTGATTGGTTGCCAGTAAAGCATCAAATTAATTATAAGTAGTTGAATGAATTTTAGTAGTTATTTGGAAGAAAAACTCAATTTCAATCAACTGACAAATCTATAGCTTGCTATGCTTATACAATAACAGCTTAGTTTGTAATTGTATATGAATGCCTTGACCATTTCATTAATTAGGATCTTAATCGTTGTCAAGAATAGATTTTTAAAAGTTATGAATTATTTATATTGAACATAAAAAAAGGAATTACTTCAAATTCTAATTTGAATTTTTTTTCTTCGTCAGCCATTTTTCCAGCAATCAGCGCCTTTAGCTTACTAACTGGGAAACCGATTGGGCCTTCGTTGTAGTATACGTTTTCACGGTCTTCTAATTTTTCTTGCGTACTTTCATTTTCATAGTTGAGATAGACATGTCCTTTCGTTTCGTCTGAAATAGAATCCATTTATGTAAGAAGCATAACATAGCAATCAGTTCAGTGATTTTAAATATTTCCTTGTACAAAGTCTGACTTGTATGCTAAAATATATAATTTCAAGTGAATTAACTCATTCACCCCTGAAGATACATTTAAACCCTTCCAATTCAAAGGGTGGAATAGTTCATTATGAAGTTTCAGGGGTGAATGAGTTATTAGTAAATTCAAAATATTTGAAACCGATTGAAAATCTTTAGTGAACATTTCGTATAATTTTCAATGATCCCTGTCCCGCTGCACTTGTTTTCAATATACTGTAACCTTCCCTTCACTTCCGTTTAGATATAACTGTAGCACAGCTGGGGCAGGACAACTCTGTTGATCTGGTCAATTGGTTAAAGCCATAGAACATCAATTTGAAATCCAGGGTTCGAATACCGTTCTAGCACCACTGATTTACTTTATACTCAGAACACTCTTGCTGACTAAGTTATGTCTATTTCATCTTAATTATTTCTTATAAAAGCCCCGTTGGATCTTTAATGCATTGCTAATTTTTTCACTATGTTATACTCAAAATACTATTTCGATGAGTTTATGCTAAATCAAAACTTTGATATTCCATGCGAATATATAGAACATCTCTACTTTCAAATGAACAGACATAAAAAATATAAATATAAGATAAATAAACGTGTAAATAATGAAAGAAAACATTCTCAATTAACCAAATCATCTACATGAAACCATGGCTAAACATACGCATTTCGCTTAAAAGGTGAGTCCAAGTTGGCTTAAGATTGACTTTTTTTAATCATTCGGTTAAACTTGATAACACTGGTAGTTTAAAAAAATACTTTCATAAGAAAAATGGAAATTTACAAAGAACGCCTGTACGGTTCGATCTTTTACCAATGTTGTAGTAGAGATTACAAGTTTACATACCTGTACTATTTCTGGAGCTGTTGGAAGGATGTGGATTTTCAAATTGTACTGAAGGTGACGATGTACCTTCCTTGAATGTGGTTGATCTTCTGATTAAAAAAAATAAAATGACAGCTTTAAACACATTAATTCGATAGCTTAAATCCAATTATTTGTTATATAAACATTTCATTTTGATTTACGTGTATTTTAATCACATTGATTTAAATACGTAAAAGCAAAGATAAAGTTTCAATAATTTCAAACATTGAAGCAACGTTTTGTAAATGGTTTAATGAATAATGTTTTTCCTTTTAATATATGCATGTATACAACTATTTACAGAGAAGGCTAATTAATAAATAGTATAAACAATGGTGTGTCTATGACACAACTTATTGCTCTAGTTATTGTTACTCTTCCGTTTTATCACATTAACATAATTGGTGCCCATTTACCTTTTGATAATAATCACTGCTACTATGATCAAAATAAGGACAACAATCCCGACTCCAGCCCCGACGTATATGCCTCTGTTGCTGTCTTCACCACCTGACTGTTTGTCCACTATAGTAAACAAAAACGGTTTAGTGAAGACAATGGTGTAGTGACAATATTGATAAAAATGTAATTGTCATCGTAGTTATTATTTCGCTTCCTGTCTTCAATGTTTACATATAAATGTAACAACAATATATTGTATATCCGACCCAAGGAAGGAACAAGACAAAAATGTTACCAAGCACATACATTTTTTAACCACTCAGTTATATGATGTGTATAATAGAACGTATATGATTTTGTGTGTGTTACCTTTGACGTCACAACGTTGTCCGGTCCAGTCCTTTTGACATGACTTACAGTTACCCGTGGTTATGTCACAGCGTTTATCCTCACAATTTCCACAAGTTCTTCCACAGGAAGTGCCGTAAGTACCACCAATGCAGGCTAAAATGATTTAAATAAATGTGTTGAATGAGTTTGAATGTTATTTATTACATGATATTTAATATATTCATTGATATTTAACATGGAAAATATTTGGGGAAATGATGACACTTTATCCAATTCCAATATTCAGATCTGCTGCATTTACATTATACTATGGGTTAGCAGTTCAACGAAATTGAAGGAAATAGTAAATGATGTTAGTACTCTATTGAATTTTGTTTTCATTTTTGATCCATAATAACAATTAAATAAAATTAAACCACATTCTTATTGTATATGAGAGTTGTAAAGTATAGCTTTATCAATCAAATTGTAAGTAAAGTTAGAAATAAGAAAGATGTGCCAAAATGGGTACCTAAGCACTGTCCTCCGTCTTGAGCACACGTAGTGCAGTTATCTGAACACGACCGTTCACACATGTTTCCATACTGACCATCTAAACATCCACCTGTTGTTTGAAATTCGATCTTATGTATCAATAAAGTTTGCAATTTTATGTTAATTTGAATGTTAGGTTAATTTCTAATACTATAAATATTATAGCAAGTGTCAGATATATATTCACATTTACCAATATAAAAACAATAAATTTGACAAACAAATAATATATATTCAGGGATATAATAAACACAGTCTAACATGTTCTAGTATTATCCTGACCTCTTCGATATAATATTATAACTTTTTAATTGTCAGAATAAGTACATGTAGTATTTGTTTTACATGGAAAATAGCGTTATCATATTTTGAATTTTTGTGTTATTGTTTTGCCATACATGGACAGTATACTTAACACGAATGCATTACATACACATAAATAATGACGGAGTTGTCGCCCTTGGCACTTATTGGAAACAGCAGAGATTCCCGTATAGTAGATGGACATCTTGAGGTGGACAGTGAAGTTGGAAGGAGAAGAGGGCTAGAGTGGTATTACCTCGATAGGACAGACAGTCGGACATGTTTCGGGAAGGAAGTGTATGATAGTTGTGATGATGGAATTGTACGTGAAATGACTGTGTCAAAACCAGACCCACAGTGACGAGTGACATTTGGTAAGGCAACAAAGGTGATGTTCCTTAGAGAAATCGTCTGTTATAATGATTGAGACCATGACATTGGTGTGTTGTTATTATTGCAGTGGGTGATTGTTATATAAATTGTTAAACTTGCTTCAAAACTCAGACAAACAAATAACTTCAGTCATATCCAACGAAAGATTCCAAACAAACATATAAAAAACGGTCCTTGACATTCATTCATTATATATAAAACGGTAAACGCAAATTAGTTTAACTGCAATTCCCTTACGTCATATTCTAGTGATTACTTTTATTCCGTGAGACAAACAATAGATACCTGTACAGTGGCCGGAGAAATCACAAGTTCTGGACAAACAGTTATCAGGACAGTTGGCGCAAGTAGGACCATAGAAACCATCGTTACACTCTGAAATGATCAGTTAATGGATATGTGGTTACATAATTTACTTCAAAATAACATAGAAAACATTACATCATTATATTACAATAACTAAACGTTAAAATATAAAACTTCTTTGATTTTACAATTATTTCAAGAATGGTTTCTATAGCGTAAGTCCTGTCTTTGTCCTAACTTCTAGACTAAGTAATTTACTGCGATATTTGACAACAATTTTATAATCTCTCTCCCAATATAATTATATACAAGATATAAGGTGACTTTCTCCCTTGGTCTCACAGATAAGGAATTTTTGAAATTACTAACATGCTTAAAATGTACAATACAAACCAGAACAATTTCCACTCTTTATCTCACATACGTTGTTTCTACAGGTATATGGACATTTGCTGTGGCACCATGAGCCGTACTCGCCCTCTGGGCATTCTGTAAATACATAAATAGTCTTATAAATTACTCTTGAGATAACGGTATCAATATACTTATAGATAGGACATTCATATTGATCAAAGCTACTATCAACATCTGGCAACGACAGAAAACATCAAATGTATCTTGTATAAGATATTAACAAGCTGATTAATTTTAATTGCTTAAATAAGATATGGAAACAGTTTGACCAAAATTAGAAACTGTTAACGGTTATAATTTATTCACATACACAATGACGTAAATCATCGATTTGTATTTATTTTGTTCACAGATGTTTACCAAATTTACAATAAAGCTGGTGACATGACGTATTTATATATAATCAAATTACGTCATATCAAGCATGGAAGCCGGCTTGTAACTCGACAGTTTCCTAGTGACATTCATAATTTTAAAAAGGCCGCGAACATTAAGAATAAAATGTATTGTTAAATCATCCTTAGGACTTATGAGGTTGGAGCAAACCATGAAAACAAAGAGTCCGGTTTTACTTCAATTCGTTACCTCCAGGTTGAATTTCCCTAACTTTCATATCTAAATTTCATACAGTCCCTTGATATTGTTTTCACGTTCAACTAACACATGGTAACAAAATGGTATGTCAAGCATATGGGGAGCACAAGAGTACCTATGATTTTTTCATTTATCGGTGACTGGATGCGCGACATATCACGTTAACATAATATGCTTCAATTGAAAAAAAAGGTTAAACATCGAAGCATTTTGTAACCTGAGTTAGTTAATTCCAACCAGTACAGCCGAACGGTCACGTAGCAGTTTGTAACCTGAGTTAGTTAATTCCAACCAGTACAGCCGAACGGTCACGTAGCAGTTTGTAACCTGAGTTAGTTAATTCCAACCAGTACAGCCGAACAGTCACGTAGCAGTTTGTAACCCGAGTTAGTTAATTCCAACCAGTATAGCCGAACAGTCACGTAGCAGATGGTTTTATGGATCAATACGTAGGTGATTGGATTAAAATTTCGTATTCTAGAAAACGATTGTATCTATTTTGAACCTGGAAAGAACACTGAACACAATTTTGAATGTTGGTCGCCTCTCACATTAGTCGCTTCATAAGGTAAACATGCAGGGCTTATATAAGGTCATTGATATGAATCGTCTTATAGGTTTACTTTAACATGAGAAGACAATTAAATTGACCCCAGAAACTTGTGAATGCATGATTTTCCAAAGTGTATTGCATATGCCATATCTGTCATCGTATACATTGTTCAAATATATCAACACCGGAAAGATTGAAAGGGGGCATTTAAAAAAAATACAAGTCATAAACCAGGTATTCCGGAAGGGTAAGATCTTTTCGCTTTATCAACGACCGTCGCAATGTAATTCTAGGTCAAATCTGCTTTTTGAAGCAGTAGTCACGAAAATAGCATAACGCAACAACAAGATAAGTATAATAAAAAGATAAACGTCCATATACAGAAATGTAACAGCATTATGTTTCATTTTAGCGAATAGAATATACAACGTTTCCGCATCATTGATCTTTCATTGAATCATGTTCATGCATTTCATCGCATCATATCGTTTGTGTCGACGATTAGTTTGTTTAAATTTGCGATCATATAATCAGTTAATATCTAATAAATCATCATTAATCATAACAAGAGACCCATGGGCCTTAACGGTCACCCGAGTTATGTAAAAACTGATGTAATCAATGTTGCCAAATGAAAAAGAAATTATTTTGTAACAAAGGTAACTTGAACTACATGTAATGCAAAAATAGTGTGAAAGATCTGGGTAGTATATGTTGTATGTACAAATAGTGGTTCTGTCAGTCAGCTGAATTATGGTAAAGCACCTAGAATTGGATTCTACCATATCTGGAAATTGAGAAGAAGATTTTTGAAATTTAAGTCAATTCAACCCCTCGGGGTCAGTCAGGGCTGATATGTACATACCATCAAACTGCTATCCAATACTGATAATGCTAACCAAGTTTGAATTAATTCTGATGGAAATTAAACAAATGCTAGTCCAAAATTTGATTTCCCTATATAAACGATAGTAAAGTGTATCCCCTGCCCAAGGGGGAAACGTGAGACCCGAGGGTCATGAAATTCACAATTTTGGTAAAGCACCTTAAGACCCTTCCACCTATGAAGAGTATTTGCTTCTACCATACCTAGGTCTTGAGAAAAAGATTTTTGAAATTTCAGTCAATTCAACCCTTTCTGGCCCCACCCATCAGTCCCTATGGGTCAGTCAGGGCTGATATGTGCATACCATCAAACTGCTTTCCAATACTGATAATGCTAACCAAGTTTGAATTAATTCTGATGGAAATTAACCAATGTTAAAATTGGTCCAAAATGTGATTTCCCTATATAAACTATAGTAAAGTTTACCCCCTCCCCAGGGGGAAACGTGAGACCCAGGGTCATGAAATTCACAATTTTGGTAAAGCACCTTAAGACCCTTCCATCTATGAAGAGTATTTGATTCTACCATATCTTGGTCTTGAGAAGACGATTTTTGTTATTTCAGTCAATTCAACCCTTTTTGGCACCACCCATCAGTCCCTGGGGGTCAGTCAGGGCTGATATGTGCATACAATTAAACTGCTATCCAATACTGATAATGCTAACCAAGTTTGAATTATATCCGATGGAAATGAAACAAATGCTGGTCTAAAATGTGATTTCCCTATATAAACTACATGTATAGTAAAGTTTATCCCCTCCCCAGGGGAAAACGTGAGACCCCAGGCTCATAAAATTCAAAATTTTGGTAAAGCACCTTTAGGTTACTCGACACATCGTCATCAGCGGCCATTTTCATGACGTACTTCCGAAAAAAGTACAGCGGACCGAATATTTCCGAGCGAAATGTGCCCATACACCGTAAAAAGTAACTCTCCAGCTTTGAAAAATACAAAAACATACTCAATCACTTGAACGCTTTACAATAATGTCGTTTTCGCCACTGTTTTGAAAGGACGGAAGAAACACTGATTGTGTTACGTTGCTAATGTCCACAATAGCTCTAGAAATGGACAGAGATAACCACGGCAAATTCACTTCAGGAAACAATGTCAGTGACTGGACAACAACCATGTGCACCATGACCATGCATACAGTAAATGTAAGTTTGTTTAGCATGCCAGTTATCGAGACAATACTAATACCGGTCCATTTCACATTTTATCAGTATAGCATATGTGTGATCGTAACGTGACCCTGTGCATCAAGCATACAAAATATGGAAAGTTAAACCTTTTTGTGCTTTTGTTTATACAGAAATGAGCGGTATATAGTTGTGCTATCTTGATATCACTGGGAAAATATTATGAAGCAGTGGAAAATTATATAAGTCCAATAATGTAATTTACAAATACAATACAATCTTTGGAGAATTATATCATGTTAGGCCCTAGATATTTTATAATGCATTTGTTCCATGTGTATTGTTTAATGTTCAATTCTACATAGAGTTCATAAAGCCAGTATTTATTTAATGAGATAAATATATGTGTATTTTGATTTGGAGACAACTGGCCTAGACTATAAACTACATGTATAGAAAAGTTTATCCCCTCCCCATGGGGAAACGTGAGACCCCAGGGTCATGAAATTCACAATTTTGGTAAAGCACCCTAAGACCCTTCAATCTATGAAAAGTATTTGATTCTACCATATCTTGGTCTTGAGAAGACGATTTTTGTTATTTCAGTCAATTCAACCCTTTCTGGCGCCACCCTTCAGCCCCTGTGGGTCAGTTAGTTGGGCTGATTTGTGCATATCATTAAACTGCTATCAAATACTGATAATGCTAACCAAGTTTGAATTAATTCTGATGGAAATAAACAAATGCTAGTCCAAAATGTGATTTCCCTATATAAACGATAGTAAAGTGTATCCCCTCCCCAGGGGGAAACGAGATCCCAGGGTCATGAAATTCACAATATTGGTAAGGCACCTTAAGACCCTTCTATCTATGAAGAGTATTTGATTCTACCATACCTAGGTCTTGAGAAAAAGATTTTTGAAATTTCAGTCAATTCAACCCTTTTTGGCCCCACCCATCAGCCCCTGGCGGTCAGTCAGTCCCAAAAATATTCATCACTCTAAATCCTGTTTTGTAAGTTTGTCTCTCACCGTCGACAATTTTCACGGCAGTCATTTTAAAGGGAGCCAACTCTTCAATACCAAAAACTGCGACATGAAAATGGGAAAGCGGGACTGCTACTTGAAAATGCTTAATTATCACGCTGACATATCTAAACAAATAGCAGACAATAAAATGTTTGAAAACAACGGTAGCCAGTTTTTGTAATCTATGTTTAGGTATTACATGTCCTGTTGAAAGTCATTCATGACAGCACATTTTATTTCTGTGACGTCAACGCAATGTTACCTTCCATGTGAATTCTGCCAAACCCGTTGACAGAGAAAGCATATCCTATGGGACGGGCGAAAATAAGGTTAAGATACAACTGAAGACAAATAAGTAAATGTTGACGAAATCATTTCGCAATAGTCTCAGGACTTTTGTTCCACCTTATAAAGATAAGTAATGATGAACGAACAATCGTAAAACAGATTCTGTCCTATTTCACAAACACATTGAAATTTCCAAAATCATGTTTGATCATTGAGTATTCGTATTTATTAAAAAAGAACCAAATTGTCTGCATTGTTTATCTGGTGTTTATTTTACACTTGTAACCACGAAAGTGGACTAAAGTAAATCTACAGGCTATTAGTATATATGATCTAAGTCGTTCAAAAGTACCACTGTGACCTTTGGGACCAGGTGAGCTATAACGAAGACAACTTTTTAGACGTTAAAAAAAAAAACCAAAAGGACTTTCAGTACCTTTCTTTTACAAGAAAGTGTAAACAAATATAAATGTGTGACCTTCTTGAACATATTGTTCATTAAAAACGATAGGTTATTGGTTCAAAACTATTTAACTGATAATTAGTTTCTAGACGCTTATCTAAATGCATTTATTATACCTTTCTTCTTTTTTACACTGTATAAAAGTATGAAATAGAATTGATATTCAAAATAACCTCTTTCAAGATTTTTTTACCAGGTAAATAGTCATTAGAGCTATTTACCCGGAATGAGCATTCATATTTTTGCAGAATATTTGGCTTCGTTCATTCTGATCGGACATTGCGTTTGTCATGTTCCTTCTGAACATCTCTACTTCCATCGCAAACGATACGATAAAGTCCATAAGCGTTTCCGAGACCCAGACGAAGCAGACGTTCTTCGTTTGCAAAACGGGTGATGAGTGAGTGCAAAAGCGAAACCAACAGTGGGTATCCGGCGATGCCGGTCGGTATAATTTTGTTGTTGGTATATCAAAACTGTATAATAGCTGTTTTTCTTCGTGACAGAATGTTAAAATTGTCTGGAGCTTATACGAGCACTGACATTATGTGTATTTTTAAATCAATATATAACTACTGAGAAGGTCAATGCTTTTATTAATTTTGTTATGTATATAACTTACATACCAGTACAATGGCCTAGTGTCTGCTCACATACGCTTCTTTCACAGTTATTTGAACAATCAAAATTGCATCGAGAGCCCCAGAAGCCATCTTGACATGCTGTATAAAAAAAAGGAATATAAGCTTTTTGTTATGGCAACATCCATCTTTTACTTAATCCATAAAAATCATTTGTAAGATATTTAGATTTTTCAACAATAGTTAGCTTGAAAAAAGAGAGATAATACATGTTTATTTGTCATGTAGAGATGAAATAAACATCAAATATATGCAATTATATAAATTTACAACTTGACAGATTTCAAAAATTCTTCTTTTATCCGAGGTAGATGCTCTTAGTTTTGACATATATAACTTCCTGTTTGAGAAATCGGAAACTGATATGACCAAAGATGTTGTATGAGTTCGCCCTGTCCATGTTGACAGACATTTGAGATCTTACTGGATACACATTCATTGATTGTACGATGAATCACTGAATTACAATACCCAAGTCAATGGATAAATATGGTGTTTCGGTGTTTTTAAACAACCCAAATCGACACATGTAAAATTATAACACATATGGATACGGTAAACATAGCCACTTGGTACATGTACCTGGACCGTAGTTTTCCTCATCCGGGGCAATTACGTAACTCGTCAATGTGTAAAAATTCAGGTGAAAGGGAGCTAAATACCAAAATAAAAGCAACCAACAAATACTTAACGTTCACTTGTGTTTTCAAAACGGTCATACGATATCACATATCAGCTCTCTGTGTCAGGCACAAACAAGGTAAAACTCCAGTCCATCATCATCATGTTTTTTACCTGTTCGGTTACCTGGGAGCCAAACCAATTCTTGACAGTCTAACGGTCACTGTAATCTAAGTTAATACGATGAGAAACTACTGCACAATGTACAGTGTACCTTTTTAATACGAGCCTTCCGCATTTTTTTCATTCCGTAATATTGATCAACCAATTTTAATCATCCCCTGTCCTCGACAGTGTCGGTAATGATTTCTATGAGTTCAACGCATATTTGTGCGGAGAGAAGCGCACAACGGGGCAATCGATGGTTAAATCGCACAGTTGAGCACACCATGTGTGCATATGTGCGACGGTGTGTGCACGATTTATGCACGATGTGCGCACGCTATTTTTGGTGTGTTGTGCGGTCACCCAACTGTACCTCCAGGTGCCTTTTTATTATTTACCGGTGACTGGAAGCGCGACATATTGCATTAACATAATATGCTTCAATTAAAAGAAATGTTAAGCATCGAAGCACATAGTTACTTGAGTTAGTTAGGTTCAACCAGTTTAGCCAAACGGTCACGTAGCAAACGGTTTAATGTTTGAAGGAGTAGATGATGGGATTATATTTTCGTATACCATAAAATGACTGTATCTTTTTTGAACCTTGAAAGAACGCTGAAAACATTGGAATGTTTGTCGTCCCTCACATTAGTCACTTCATAAAATAAACATGCAGGATATATATATAAGGTCATTGATATTATTCGTCTCATCATATTTACTCTTTCATGAAAGAACAACAAAATTGATCCCCTGAAACTTGCTGTGAATGCAAGGTTTTCAAAAGCGTAATGCATTTCCATTAAGAGGATGAACCACACTGGTAAGCTGAATTGGCTCCCAAAAGATTTGTTCACTTGCTACCAAAAGAGAAACAAACATTCACATCTAATAAGCGATGAAATCATGTGTAGTTGTGCCATTCGGTATCGACCTGTGTCTTGGTTCCCTCTCATCACATATATTGTTCAAATCGCACATTTCTATCGGAGTTGTGTGTCATATTGAAATGCATTGCTACCAGCTGTATGTCAGATCTTTTGTGTTTTATTGTCAAAAAAGACATGATACACAACCCTGATATAACTGAATGCTTCATTAATACCGACTAAATAATCCAAAAAGCCAGAACAAGAAACTGCGGATACAGCCAAGCATCACAAAGAACATTATAACAGTTTACTAATCTTATTAAAACAGCTCGTCTGATTTAACCTGTGTTAACTCTTGTGAACTGTTTATCCTTACAAATACCTGCATAAACATTCACCGTTAGTCTCCTTGTGTATCCTGATATGATTCGCAAGAAACACATAAAAGTTTCCCACATTCCTTGACGCTGCTAACTATTAGCCCAAAGCTCTTTGATTTCAATCATTTAGGAAAAGAAAAGATTTTTCAACAGATTACCTTGTATCTCACTTGTACAAAATTAAATCATCAAACATATTGAATATTATATATGTTTCATGCATGACAATATTTGTAGTAAATCCCTGAAGTCATTTGAAATATTCAATTATACGATAGGATGTAAAACATTCTGGATATCTATGCTCCAACAGTATTGATTTTGATATTTATTATGTAAACCCCTGATAGTAATTTGAAAAATACAACTATAAGACACAATGTGACATGATCAATGCATCTATAGTCCATTTAATGTTGTTTTTATGTTCGTTGAACAACTAAATATCAAACTTACTTGAGAAAGCTTGCATAAAATATTTCTAGTTAGCTGACTTATTTTTATATGGAGATAAACATAATTGTTTAACAGTCATAACATGAAATGCTGAAATCTAACAACCACAAGAAAGCACAACAAGCAAACTATCAACAACAGGAACATTGAAACGGAAACAATGAAAACATAAAAGACATAAAATCAGATATTCCGGAAGGATAAGAACATTGCGCTCCATCAACGTCCGTCGCCATGTAATACATGTACTACATGTATGTAATTTCTGCGGAATGTCACTCTCTCTTAACAGGAACCGCAGTAATCACAAAAATAACACAGCGCAACGACAACATAACCAGATGATTATAATAAAAAGATCGACTTTCATGTACAGAAATGTAACAGCATTATGTTTCATTTTAGCGAATAATTTGTGCAACGCTTGCGCATCGTGGATCGTTTATTTAATCATTTCCATGCATTTCATCGCATCGTGTCGTTTGTTTCGACGATTTATTTGTGTTAATTTGCAATCATATAATCAGTTAATATCAAATAAATCATAACTAAGGAAAAACAAAATTGTTCTTTGTTACCAAATTACTTTTCAAAAATACTGTATTTCAGAACAAACAATCTCAATCAAAATATAAGAATTTAAAATAATTCTTTCAGTGAAACGGTCTTAAATAAAAAATATGTATATATATATATAAAAGTCTCCCTCCTCTACTTCTGAAAATGACTATGAATTCTAAATTTCTAATGTTAGTCTGTAAAATATTATATGAACAGAAATTATCTCAAATAATGAAAACGAACCTTTGAGTTCAATTATGTGTTTCTCTGTGCCTTAAGTCGACCAAAGGGAGATCGTTTCCATAGAAACGATTATTGCATCCATGGAATACCACGTTTTCCAAGAATTTAATGTTGACATTATTATCTTCACGGCTCAGATACGTATGTATATTCACTCAGTCAAAACAACAACATCTTGACACGGCAGAACAACACCAAATGGTTGTATAAGGTAAGTGTATTCATAAGGTGTGAAAGTCCGCTTCCGGTCCATTATCTAATAGTCTTGTTAGCGTTAATAACTATTCACATAACACTCTCCAATTTATATCAAACATATGAATCTTGTATGTAAAAGGTTACATCACATCGTTTATCGTCAAACGTGTTGTTAACCATCGATCGCATCGTTTGCATTCGTCTGCAATTCTTTCCGCACCGTTTGGAACCACATGATTTTGAAGTACCGTAACACAACGAAAAAGAATATTTCCTATTGAGAGTATGACAGTGATTTTAAAACATGCCCATATTCTTCAGCAACACGCATCTCTCCTAACTTTTTTTTGTAAGTGAGTCACTCAACTTCGACAACTTTCACGGAAGTCATTGTAGAGGGAGCAAACTCTTAAATACCAAAACAACTGCAACATGTAAGGTAGGAGAGCAGGGCTGCAACATGTAAGCTAAGAGAGCAGGGCTGCAACACGTCAGCTAGGAGAGCAGGGCTGCTACTTAAAACATGTAAGCAAGGAGAGCAGGGCTGCAACACGTAAGCTAGGTGAGCAGGGCTGCAACACGTAGGATTGGAGAGCAGGACTGCAACACATAAGCTAGGAGAGCAGAGCTGCAACACGTAAGCTAGGAGAGCAGGACTGCAACATGTAAGCTAGGAGAGCACCGCTGCTACTTAAAACATGTAAGCTAGCAGAGCAGGACTGCAACATTTAAGCTATGAGAGCAGGGCTGCAACGCGTAAGCTAGAAAAGCAGGGCTTCTACTTAAAACATGTAAGCTAGGAGAGCAGGGCCGCAACACGTAAGCTAGGAGAGCAAGACTGCAACATGTAAGCTAGGAGAGCAAGACTGCAACATGTCAGCTGGGAGAGCAGGGCTGCTACTTAAAACAGGTAAGCTAGCAGAGCAGGACTGCAACATGTAAGCTATGAGAGCAGGGCTGCAACACGTAAGGTAGCAGAGCAGGGCTGCAACATGTAAGCTAGCAGAGCAGGGCTGCAACACGTAAGCTAGAAAAGCAGGGCTTATACTTAAAACATGTAAGCTAGGAGAACAGGGCTGCAAGACGTAAGCTAGGTGAGCAGGGCTGCAACACGTAGGATTGGAGAGCAGTACTGCAACACATAAGCTAGGAGAGCAGGGCTGCAACATGTCAGCTAGGAGAGCAGGGCTGTAACACGTAAGTTAGGTAAGCAGGACTGAAACACGTAAGATAGAAAAGCAGGGCTTCTACTTAGAACATGTAAGCTAGGAGAGCAGGGCCGCAACACGTAAGCTAGGAGAGCAAGACTGCAACATGTCAGCTGGGAGAGCAGGGCTGCTACTTAAAACATGTAAGCTAGGAGAGCAGGGCCGCAACACGTAAGCTAGGAGAGCAAGACTGCAACATGTAAGAAAGGAGAGCAGGGCTGCAACATGTAAGCTAGGAGAGCAGGACTGCAACATGTAAGCTATGAGAGCAGGGCTGCAACACGTAAGCTAGCAGAGCAGGGCTGCAACATGTAAGCTAGGAGAGCAGGACTGCAACACGTAAGCTAGGAGAGCAGGACTGCAACATGTAAGCTAGGAGAGCAAGACTGCAACATGTAAGCTAGGAGAGCAGGGCTGCTACTTAAAACATGTAAGCTAGGAGAACAGGGCTGCAACACGTAAGCTAGGTGAGCAGGGCTGCAACACGTAAGATTGGAGAGCAGGACTGCAACACGTAAGCTAGGAGAGCAGGGCTGCAACACGTAAGCTAGGAGAGCAGGACTGCAACACGTAAGCTAGGAGAGCAGGGCTGCTACTTAAAAAATGTTAGCTAGGAGAGCAGGACTGCAACATGTCAGCTAGGAGAGCAGGGCTGTAACACGTAAGTTAGGAAAGCAGGACTGAAACACGTAAGATAGAAAAGCAGGGCTTCTACTTGAAACATGTAAGCTAGGAGAGCAGGGCTGCAACACGTAAGCTAGGAGAGCAGGACTGCAACATGTAAGCTAGGAGAGCAGGACTGCAACACTTAAGCTAGGAGAGCAAGACTGCTACTTAAACATGTAAGCTATGAGAGCAGAGCTGCTACTTAAACATGTAAGCTAGGAAAGCAGGACCGCTACTTAAAACATGTAAGCTAGGAAAGCAGGGCTGCAACTTAAACATGTAAGCTAGGAGAGCAGGGCTGCAACTTAAAACATGTTAGCTAGGAGAGCAGGGCTGCAACTTAAACATGTAAGCTAGGAGAGCAGGGCTGCAACTTAAAACATGTAAGCTAGGAGAGCAGGGCTGCAACTTAAACATGTAAGCTAGGAGAGCAGGACTGCTACTTAAACATGTAAGCTAGGAGAGCAGGACTGCTACTTAAAACACGTAAGCTAGGAGAGCAGAGCTGCAACACGTAAGCTAGGAGAGCAGGGCTGCTACTTTAAAAATATCAAATTAATTATGACATATCTAAACAAATAGCTGACTTGTGAAAAAGAAAAGGTATTGGTGCTGAACTGTTGTTGTCCTACATGTATTATATAGAGTTTTGATAACATTACAGAGAATAAAAGGGTTCAAATGAGAATTTTACCAATCAGGTAAACGAATCAATAACGAATACGGTGAGGGTCTGACAAAGCAATTTTAATACGGAGGTCGATATTATGTATAGCCTATCCCAAGGTTAGCTTCTAGACGAGGGTTAGACATTCAAAAATCTCGACCAAAGGGTCGAAACTCTGGCATACCTTAACTGTGGAGATTGATTCTTTTTCTCCAATGCAGACAATAATGTGTTTGAAAGCAATGGAAATCAGTATTTGTATTCTATATTTTGGCATGACCTGTCCTGATATTTTATTGTTTCTGCGACGTCACCGCATTGTTTCTTTCTATGTGCGTTCTATCAAACCCTACAGGTTGACAGATAAAGCCTTTCCTTTAGGACGGAAGATAAGGTAAAGATATAGATAAATAAAACACAAATAATAAAATGACCGTTAAGATCGCACTATATAAAATCAGGAACGGAAATATTTGTTTTGCATAAAAAGAAAATCCAAATCTCACTTTATCAAATATTATCCTATTTAAAGCAATATCACGTTTCAACAATTGTTTACATTGATTCATGAATGAACAAAGTTATATTAGCCATGATACTGCTTTGAACACTACCTATACACAGATCAAATCAGAATAATTATATATAATTATAACTGACGGATACAGAAATATATATTTTAATCTGTTTGTTTACTATGGCAATTCTTCGAGCTAATATTATACACACCTTTACAATCACCATATGACTTCTCACAAACGTTACTGCTACAGGTAGACGAACATTTGTTTTCGCACTGAAGTCCGTAGAAACCATCTGGACATGCTAAATCAAATCAGGAATAAAGGTACACTTTTCATTACAACATCATACATTCATATCTCAATGTTCAAAACGAACCATGTTCTATTATAAAAAGATAATATTGAATGTTGAACAATAGTTGGCATGGAAGCATGAATGCATTAATTGTAACTTGGAATATGCGAGTTTGGTTTATGTCAGTGTACTGATTAATATTCATAACGAGGTGTTGTTAAACCAGCGCCAAAATCAAAAGGTATACATTGATATAATAATTTGTAACTTAACAGAAATATAGGGTATTTCTTCATCGATTTCATTTCACTATATGCAAATGTTTTTTTCGGTATAATTTTTTATCAACACTCCTGTAGTGACAGTGATGAGTGTCACGTTTTCCACCCCGTCGCCGTATTTCTGGCCGATATGTTGTGGGGAAGACTTTATATGGGAGAAATAGGGAAACAGAGCGGGTTACATAAATTCCATTCATGAAACCGATCCTGTTCTTTGCACACTATGGAAACTTTCCCTCATTACAAATGTTCTCGTTCTTATAAAACTTTTCCTTGGCTTTCGTCTGTAACTGTTCTCTATTCCGACATTTTATAAATATTTTGTAAGTAATAGTATTAATGAGTAGGTGTGTGTGCGTGTGTGTGTGTGTGTGTGTGTATGACCAGGGGGGTCGGGGGATGTTGGGTTAGGCGTTGGATTTTTATACAGGATTGGGTTGGAGCATGCGGGGTGGTATTGATAAGGGTTCATGGAAGGGGATATAATTGTTAAGGTGGTGAAGGGGGTTACGCAATGTTGAGTGGGAATAAATGTGCCGGGTTGATTGGCCGAGGCATAAAACTATTGCTGCATAAAAAAGTGCGGGAATTAGTAGTGTACTATTTGACACCAGATTCTAATGACATCACGCAATTTTAAATAGGACACTCAATGCAATATTCTACCATGTTCTGCTTTTTTCTCGAAGAAATTACTTGCAAAAATCTTATCAATTGTTTTAGTATATTAATATCTTAGTTTATGTACTAAAGATTTACACACAAAAAATCCGCCACGTAATCTACCGTTGCTTCAAAACAATTTTATAGCAATTGCACAAGGCAATTGTATGTAGATCTATTTTTTCTACCACATTACGCTGCGTTATTACACTCTCATATCATTGTATAAACACGCAGACTGTTAGATGAATATGAGTTATATACCACACGTGCTATATGACCTTCAAGAGTTTTGATTGGTCGAGAAGATGAACTATGACCGGGAAGACTTTTTCCACGTGCTTTTCGCCACCTACTGTTTTGTTTACGTCGTCGGCTGTCATCATCCGACAAATGTTGGTGACTTTGTGAGGTTATGAGGAAAGGGTTAGTAAGGCAATATTAAAAGATGATACTTAAAGATTTGATCGGTAGTTTCTGTCAAAGTTGCTATAGACGCTCGAAATCGTTTCGACGTCACACCGTCGCGTGTCGTCGTGAAACCAAAACAAGATCTGTCACAGTGTCGGGAAATCTTTCGTTCTCCCAACGTCCCGTTATCGCTATTTAGACGGTCTGACAATGTCTGAACTTTCACTATAAACGTCAACCATAGAACCGTCACGAAGAAACGTAGGCCAATGGTTTTGGATATTGACAGCGATAAGTTCGTCTACAACGGTTCATCACTTGGCGGGAGGCAGACTTCGTACGATATGCTTACGCGCATATAGTCCGTGGTTAATTTATGTAAATTAATGCAATACTGCTACTCTCAATATTTTAAGTCGTTCATCTATTTTATTTTTTCACGAAGTTGTTGCCGAAATATTAATTTTGACAATAATTAAATTTGTAAAAAAAAAAGAGGTCATTTTTTAATATTAATGAGTGACTTTTTACATATGGGTCATATTACTACGCCAGCCTTGTCAACAAACACATGTGTGTATGTTATTTCCGACTGATCATGAGATTGTGGTAGAAACAGATCACACGACTCGTGGTTGTTGAGTATGGTATTTATTTCACTCTCGTTAATTAATTTTCAAAAGTTAAAGAAAGACACTCGCTAAAGCTCGTGTCTTTTGTAACTTTTGAAAATTAACTAACTCGAGTAAAATAAATACCATATTCAACAACCACTCGTTGTGTAACCTCTATTTTTTTTGTCTTGGTATTGTTTGTGATGTCACTATGCTTGTTTATTGATGACGTCACTAAAATTGTTAACTATACAAATATTGATGACGTCATTTAACCAACGGTGATAAAAAAAAATATCAATCCGCCTGAAGAAGCCCTAGAAGGCAGAAAGGCCTAGCGGACGATCTCAAAAAATTATGTTTTTATTCTATATTTTTCTTCGCAAGGTCTTATCTATTTATTATCTACTATATAATAACAAATTGATGTCTTGTTTATTCATCGTGGTCAACTGAACAGACATTTAACCTGATTGTCAGAGGTGAAAGAGACATACCTTATGGAACTTTTATGGAAAAAAAGAGATGAAATAAAAATGGAAAAAAATGAAACAGGGTCCGAACGGACCTCAGACCCTTATACTATTGATGATGTGATCTAGCCAACTTATCTGAATAACAGTATACAACACTGGCTCAGTCGCGATACAGATAAAATAAAAAATAAAAATCTAAGGTGGGGGTTACTGTGTATATCAAAGTCTACTACGGAAAATAGGCTTACATCACTGTAAAATGTTTTTGTTTGCTATTGTTTCACCGAAAGCTACAGTATATAAGACAGAAGTTTAGATAGTTGGAAAAATGATACCAGATAATGTGTATAAGGGATTAGACACCTTGTCCGTGCCATGTGTCCACTGGCCGTATCTAACGTCATATCTCCGAGGAATTGAAAGTTCAAATACATCGCTTACAGCACGAAAGTCCGCGAATGTTTTCTAATATATTGACACCGTTGCTCCGAATTTTCACTTAAAGTCCCAGAGAAATAGATTAATAAATAAAAAGTACCCTTACTCTATCACCTGACAGCGAAACAGAAAGTAGAGTGGAGATCAAATTAGAATATTCAACTGCGTAAAATGCAGAAAACGGTACACGCAGTATATACTTTGGTGAAGTGATTTTGTTCTCTTTATTTATTCTTAAAACGGATATTTAAAACAACGGGGAAAGCATGTCATCTTTTTTTAAATATGAGCTTCAAGATCAGATTCTCATCTTTCCATTGGTATACTATATGTGTGTCTGCGATGCCGATTTTTTTTTTTTTTTACAATGATTGAAATTTGAACATAAATCGCCTCACAGAAGAAATAGTTTCCAGGTCGTCTCATGTCACATGAATTGATGACGTCATGAACAATGCTGAGCGTGACGTTAAAATTCGTTAAAAGCTGATCGGCCCAGATCGGCCCTGTGGCAGTCAACGTAAAAATCAGATCGGCCCAAATCGCCCTCTCTCTCTCAAATATGTTTAAAACAAAATAAACCAGTATGTAATCGTGAACTTACCATTACAATTTCCGGAATTATCACATGGGCCAGCACAAGATTCTGGACAAGGCCGGCATGATGTTTCCCATGATCTGGTATATGTGTTGTCCCCGCAGTCTTTAATGGAATAAAACAAAATAAAGTATATATTTCTTACAACTGATATCATACATGTGTTATTTATGAAGTCATAATTATTGGATAACCCTACTGTATTTTTTGAGAATTGAGGCGTTAGACCGTGATTATACTCTAGCAAATTGAGTTTTACTGGAAAAACAGAGTACAGGAGGGTTACCCTCATTCTTATTCATATTACCGAAAGAACCGGCGATTTTAAGATGTTTTTGTGGGTTTCTGTAAAACCTAGGTCTCTGCCGTTGATTTGTGACGTCAGGATTATTAAAAGATTCAAGACGGGTCAGTCGGGGTCATTTACGTAATTAACAATCATAATTCGGGCATCACTTGTCACATCTCAAACGAATTAGAAAAGCATTTTCGTTGATGAAGCTGTTGAAGAAGAACGTTCACACGTCTCAGACATATAAAGGATGTCCTTAGATTGTATAATTATATGTGTATACACTTCGACTTGCAATCGCGAACGGTTTATTCGAATAGCTCAGTTAGGCATAATAAACGTTAAGCATAGATGATCATCATATATGGTTTTTATACCGTAGTTATCTACATCATTATATGTAAATTATTTCGAATATCATGTAGATCAGAAATTAAGAACAACTATAAAATGACTGTTAATGCCTTGTCAAACATACATAGACAATTTCCTGAGCTGGGATGACAGACACTGCCTGGACAGTTCGAGGAACACGTTTCGTCACAATTTCCATTTCCGTATTTCCCAGCTTCACATCCTGTAAAACCATGAACAGTACGTTATAACCCGGTAACAATTTGTTTAACACGACAGCGTTCATCTGTGTAAACACTTGATATTTAAATCAAGGTTAAAGTGTACTACGGAAATATGTCCGTAAATAGATAAACATTTCATGTGAGATGATCTTGGTTATAATTATTTCTAATTTCCCAGATGTCATTGCAGTCTAGACATTAAAAGATTACACATGTTTTAAATAGATACATTGTTGTAATGTGTATTAAGGCGTATAGACAGGCGAATTGACGAGTATTCAGCCTGGTAGATGCAATACAATGCAATACACATTTCTAATTAAATGATCTTATCTTTGCTAAAATGACATAACTTTTCTTTTTCAAAATATATATATTTAAAATATTATTCAATCAGATGTTCTCGAAAACTCCTACTATCTAATTGATTAAAAACTACACGGTATAAAGAATATCATATAATAATACCCTACGTTAGCGTTTCAATCTGATTAAAATCATATGTTACATGGCTTCGTTAGCTTCGTACTACGCCTGAACATCTGAGTGTGCCACGGTCAGGGTCACGTTCAGGTGACCTTTATATTTATAAATACTCATTAAATTTTGACCAATCAGAGACCCTCTTGCTAAAGGGCGCTCGGAGTTGTAACAAATATGTCGGACATTGATGAGAATGATGCGAAAGTTCTGAAGTTATTTGAGATTGATCGTCTGAAACCCGAACAGAAAAAGATATTCGAAGCTTTATTAGAGAAGAAAGACTGTATGGCGGTGTTGCCTACGCAATTATTACCCATCATAGAAACGTCAGTTCCCGCCGCCATATTTGTTTTTGAAAACTAATCTGTTCGATACCGCTTGCTATTTATCAACCATGATATTCCGATTCGCTGGCAAACTCTTGCAAGCGCGCCTCTGATTGGTTCATCTAAAGGTCACTTGAACGTGACCCTGACCGCGGCACATTCAGATGTTCAGGCGGAGCCATGTAACATATGATTTTAATCAGATTGTTAGCGTTTGGAATGGACAGCAGTCATTGACGGACAGAGTGATGATTCGTTGAAGAATATTGCAGTTTTGTAATACATATCATTTGCTGACTGCAGGGTGAAGTAGAGACAGACTAATCCGTGGTATAAAATATAATGAACGAAAAGCTATTGTCATTCGAAAAATAAAAAAAAATAAAAAAAATGGCGGGGTTTACATGTATGATGCTTACCTAGCCATTCAGAAATAGGATGAAATTTGCAAAATATTATCATAGAAACATTGCAGTTATCACATACAGCTCTGATCCTAAATGGAAAAACAGTCGACATAGTCATTTTATCCTTTTGGTGTGTCAGCATGCGAGTACTTAGCAACAAAGAAATAATAAAAAAAAGATAAAAAATAATAATTAAAGACATCCCTTTTTACGAATGTTAATCATCAATTTCACTTCATTTTTTAACGATCTTACACAAAACAAAATCAAGCTTCTTTCTTATTCTTCACGGTAACTGTCTTTCTTAAAACAATAATATCCTCTGTCTTTTATTCGCTATTTTACAACGTCGGTGATGTAACTACATTGATTACGAAGTATGCGTTATTCGACAAAAATATATGTGAGTACAAATAAGACTTGTCTTGGGCGGATAGACTTTGGTGAGAGAGAGAGAGGAAACACGTATGAAAGTGCATACATAATCGTTTCCACATACGCTTATGCTAAACCGTCGGGAAAAGAAAATGGGATGCATTTTGCATAAAAAATAGCATCTGCTCTGCTCGACTTATTGCTACAATGAAATGAGACACCACTTGGCATACCTTTGACCGTTCAAAAGAATGACATAATTAAAATAATTGGACAATCCAGGTTATATGCTTTTATAGACACTAAACTGGTCACAATAGTAGTTTAAATTATATTTCCATGTGGTAGAATAGATATGATAAACCTATATTCGTTTACTGCGGTGAAATATGTAACTCGGGATTTGAAAACGTAAATAACAAGCCCATGGGTAGGCGGTGTATGTTTATCGTAGTAATTTTTTCATCCTCGTTATACTTTTGTTCATAATTGTTTCCCTGTATTCCACATTGCCTTGCTATTCGTCCCTTAAAAGGCTGCTCGTTTCAGTATATATAGGTAGTTTTTCGCTGCTATATCTGCCTACGTCAAACCTTATTACAGGTGATTTGTAAAATGTAAGAGAAAATGTAATGCTTAGTTTGTTTGTTTTGAACACAAATAGAAATTTATTTTGCGAGATTTCGTGAAACGTCTGTTTCATTTGTAATTGAAATAGCGCAAATGACAAAGGAAACAGACGTTTCCGATATCTCTCAAAATAAGTGTTTGTTTACTTTTTGCGATCCAAAACAACCTAGCATTTATTATTATTCATACCAAACCGACTAATTTTATTCCTCCTAGTAAAGGAAAGTTGTTGAATAAGTTTTATAGTGCGTTTTAAAATGTGTTACCTGGATATTTGAACTGTGAGCATCAGCTGTGCTGATTCAATCTGAGATAATATGCTAAAATGCTTACTTTATATAGATTAATGTTATTGCTGTTTTATGAAAATAGTCATTCCTATTTACCTCTATGAAATCTTTATATTCAGCAATACTTTTAATATGAACAATAATATATCTCTAATCAATGATCAGTTATCTATAAACTCCAAACTAAATTGTAAACGAAAACCGTGTATAGGATAATGGTTAAACATTTAATATCTTTCATCTTTTAATGTGTTTATTATAAGTAATATTAATAAAACATTATTTGTCAGTATAAAACATTATGTTTTACCAGTGATAATGATACAACATAACACACATGCTGAAGAGCTAAGATGAGTTATCAGTAATTTAATTAACATGCATTGGTTCAAAAGTGAAACGGGTACGGCAGGTTTAATGAAGGGATAGATTTTAGTGTAAAATAGAACTGACATATATTGTAAAACAGAACTGACATATATACTGTAGTATAGTGATAAGTTCCAGGTTAGTATAGGACTAACAGGTAAATTTGGTCATAATTTCTATTGTGATACAAAACTAGATAGTACAGTAAAGCGATAAGTTCTAGCGTGATACAGAACTGAAAAATATAGGAGAGTGATGATTTATAGTTTGATACACGATTGACAGGTGAAGTATATATAGTGATAAGTTCCAGTGTGATACAAGACTGACGTGCATAGTATAGTGATACGTATCAGTGTCATATACGACTGACATGTGGTATATTAAAGTTGTCAGTTGTAGTGTGGGACAGGACTGCCATATATAATGAAGTGATGAGTTCCAGTGTAATACAGGACTGACATCTATATAGCATAGTGGTGAGTTTTTGTGTGAAATAGGACTGCCAGATATAACATAGTGATGAGTATTTGTGTGATACAGGACTAACAGGTATGGTATCGTGACGAGTTCATGTGTAAAACAAGAATGAAAGGTATAATACAGGAATGAGTTCTAGTGTGCTACATAACTGACAGGTATATTATAGAAATGAGTTCTAATGTAATACAGGACTGACAGATTTTGTTTACTGGTGTGATGTGATACATTACTGACATGTATAGGATAGGTATGAGTTCTCGTATGAAACAGGACTGAAACGGATAGTATAGTGACGAGTACTAGTATGAAAAATGTCTGACAGGTATAGTATAATGATGAGTTTTAGTGTGATACAGGACTGAAATGTATAGTAAAGTGATGGGTTCTTGTTTGATACAGAAGTGACAGGTATAGTATTATGGTGAGTTTTAGTGTGGTACAGGACTGTTCGAAATGGTATTGTGCAGGGTGGCACACGTGTTACAGGAATTAGTGTGATACAAGACTGACAGGTACAGTATAGTGATGAGTTCTAGTATGATACAGGACTGCCAGGTACAGTATAGTGATCAGTTCTAGTATGATACAGGACTGCCAGGTACAGTATAGTGATCAGTTCTAGTATGATACAGGACTGACAGGTGCAGTTTAGTGATGAGTTCTAGTATGATACAGGACTAACAGGTACAGTATAGTGATGAGTTCTAGTGTGATACAGGACTGACAGGTACAGTTTAGTGATAAGTTCTAGTATGATACAGATCTGCCAGGTAGAGTATAGTGATGAGTTCTAGTATGATACAGGACTGACATGTACAGTATAGTGATGAGTTCTAGTGTGATACAGGACTAACAGGTACAGTATAGTGATCAGTTCTAGTGTGATACAGGACTGACAGGTACAGTTTAGTGATGAGTTCTAGTATGATACATGACTGAAATGTACATTATAGTGATGAGTTCTAGTATGATACAGGAATGACAGGTACAGTATAGTGATGAGTTCTAGTATGATACAGGACTAACAGGTACAGTATAGTGATGAGTTCTAGTGTGATACAGGACTGACAGGTACAGTTTAGTGATGAGTTCTAGTATGATACATGATTGACATGTACATTATAGTGATGAGTTCTAGTATGATACAGGACTGACAGGTACAGTTTAGTGATGAGTTCTAGTATGATACATGACTGACATGTACATTATAGTGATGAGTTCTAGTATGATACAGGACTGACAGGTACAGTATAGTGATGAGTTCTAGTATGATACAGGACTGACAGGTACAGTTTAGTGATAAGTTCTAGTATGATACAGATCTGCCAGGTAGAGTATAGTGATGAGTTCTAGTATGATACAGGACTGATTTGTCTTTGTTTTTCTGATATTAACAATTTTCTATTGTCTTGCCAACACTCATAGTAACTGAACATATGATAATTCTACACAGACTTTTGTCGACCTCCTCCCCCACCACCACCGTCCCAAACATTTTAAAATATAAATATATACTAGTGTTTTCAACTGCAAGCACCCTTTTGAAAGTCTTAATCTATTTTTCATATAAAAATAGCTTTAACGTTGTATTTATGAATAAAATGGAGCAGGTCTGGAAATGATAATGTGAATGAGT